AGTATATTCCCGGTATAGTATAGGTCAATATAGCAACTAAGGGTTAGTGAACTTCATATTAATACCCTTGAACTCAGAGTGAGATACTCGACAAGCTGGTGTCCACATTCTTTTGCCTATATAGTGTTACGATTTACAACTGACAGGATTTCAAGCAAGAGAAATTTAGATTTGGAGTTACATTCCTCCCTGATCTCGTCCTGGTCTTCGCCAGATCTGCAAGGTGACCTTGGGACGCTGGTGTACAGTGTCAAACCAGAGCCCCTTGCAGGGCTTCAAGTGACAGATGTCATTTTGTGGTGCTGCTAATGGTCTGTAAAAGTTTGACCAGACGATGGTGTGTTTCCCTGCAGGATGTGAGCTTGACGCACCTCTGCTCCGGGGACTGTTGTTTAGTTGTGAGACAAGCATGTCAATGTATTTCAGTGCCCCACCGTCAAACAAAAAAAGATCAGTCCTTGCTTCTCTTCTCAGAGAAAGCTTTGTCGTTAAACGTCCGTAACCACGGCGACGAGGAGAACACTATAACCCGGGACTGGTGTCGCAAGCCGGACGCAGACCGTCCACGGCGGTCTATGACTCTGCTTCTCTCTTCTTTTTGAAAAACTTTGTACCTGTTGTACATCTCCATTCAATATGTGGTGTTACAGTGTTTGTTTGAGTAAAAAAAAAAGATAAAACTTCACAAAAATTACAAGTAAACATTTGTATCATTTAAATCTATAGTTATATCACTGTGTTGCAGCTTCCATCTACCTTTGTATCATATTTCCCAGATTATTTGTGTATTTGAATTTTCCTCTATTTGCCCAATGTTACATTACTTAACCTCAAATTGACCCAAACAGACACTTGGTTTCAGGAATCTGGTCTCGTTAGCGCCACACAGTGGTGCAGTGGGTAGAGGTATGGCCTCACACCTCCAAGTGTGTGGGTTTGTTCCTGGCTCGGTTGATCCCAATCCTGTCCAGGATATCCTGAGCCTTCTGGAATAAGGTCCGGGCCTACAGAGACATCGCACTAGCAACGTAGCTATGGATCGTGTTCCTGTTACTCTTCTCCAGTGGAAGATTTTGGATCCTCTCTATTTAGTTATACTCCTCATTTCCATCTTCAGCCTCAGGTTTGAAAGATCTTTCTCCATGATTTTGGCGATTCACTGTCTGCCCAGTTCTTCAGCTTCCTGTCTCTCCTTCACAGCCAAAACCGGTCACAGTGCCGAGGCCCTCCCCAGTTCCGTCCTTTGGCAGACGGGCCTTATCAGTGTACGGCATGAGAAGGTCAGCCAAACTGCACCTGATGTGTATGCGAGTGAGTGCATCCTTACTAAGTGTCCAGTGCAAACCCTACAGTATGTGACATCTTGCAGGCTGAGGTCCGTGTTCCAGGATGTGCTTCCATAATTCATGAAAGGTCATGTTAAGATTCATCCTTGGGGTGGGGGGGGGGGTTGCTTGGCGACAACTATCTGGGATCGTCTCTCATGGTATGGACATGCTGGGCTCCAAAGCATCATTCTGAACTTGATGTTTCTTGCATTTTCCAGTCCCTCCCAGACTGTTGGATTCTCATATTAGGAGGGTTCCAGATTATCCAGAACCGGGCCTGAATGTCATGTACCTGGGTCTCAGGTTAAAGCAGCAGAGCTTATGTGTGCACATCCGTTATATAACGCATGTCTATAAATAAACCCTACACATATATTAAGTGCTTTAAATTTCCCTGGGAGAGGAATGCAGTGCACGTATATATTTAGTGTTCCGTTGTTGCTAGGCAACACCTTACAGTCATTGTCTCTCTGTGGTTTTGTTGTCTGTTGTCAGTGCTATGGGATGATTGGTGCTTGGGGCTGTTTTAATCTTCCTGTGAGTTTCCTGCTGTCTCCCAAACCCCATCCACCCTCCCTCCCCCCCACCAGGTTCGTCTGCACAGGGCTGATTCGAAGTGTCACCTGAGGCATTACAGTGTACAGTGTTCGGACACTGCCAGTGGTCAGGAGTGTTTACAGCTTGTCCCCAGCGCCGCGTGGGGCGAGTCTGCGTGCAAAGGAGGCTGGGGATTTTTGGGAATGATCTGAACTTCCTGTAATGGGGGCAGTAGGAAGAACGTGTGTGTGAAGACAGTGAGTGTAACTCATTTTAAAAAAAGAGGCTTGGTGCACGTGGGAATCTCATCTAGACTTTAGTGTGCATTTTTGTTATTTTTCCGTTATATGTTGTATCAGCTCCTGATGAAATATACCCTCTGGCTGTCGTCCTAGGGCCCCAGCTCAGCCGGGGGCCCAGGGGGGAGTCTTAAAGTCAGCGGTTTAGCGTCTGACGGGAGGCTGAACAAGACATCGCATTTTCAGACACACACACAGCTGCATGGTCCAGTGGCTTGTGCTCATTTTCTTACACACACACACACACACACAGAGTCGTGTAATCATATCTTTTTGGGGACCGCTCATTCATTTCTATGGGAAAAATCCTAATGCTGACTATGACAACCTTAACCCCTACCCAGCCCTAACCATAAGCAACCAAACAGAATAAAAGAGTTTTTGCATTTTTAGTTTTTTCATTGCAGTCATGGATTTTTATAAAATAAAACTTCATTCTGATACTGGTCCCCATAAGGTAAAAAAAACAGGTATTCATCACGTTGTGGGGACATTTGGTCCCCATAAGGTAAGGTATACCTGGACCACACACTCACACACACACACACAGTAGGACTTCCCTATGCCATGCCAGTTGTGTCTGGCCGACAGTGATATATTCAGTAAACAGAATGAAATCAAACAAACAAAAGGCTTCAATTTCATCTGTGCTCCCACGCCGAGATTCTCAGGTGGTGTTGACGGATCCAAGTCAAAAGTCATAGGCTGAGGTGCGATAGCTGAGAGGCTATCTTGGTTAGCATGCTAATTCACCCATGTTGTCGCTATTACTAAATTTACATTTTATTTATTTATCAGACACTATTATCCATATATACACTTCAGTCACTGGCTCTTTTGGGAATTGTAACCTTGTACAACGGCCCAAGGGTGAAATCACTCTGCTGACTCTGGGATTAGAAGCTATGACCTTCCGGTCACAATCACAGCACCCTAACGTACTGGACCCGAATAACGATCACCAGAGTATACTTACATTCTCAGGTGACAATAGTAGTTGCTGCCAATGCAGCAATGATCCGGGACCGAAGAGTACAACAGCAAGGAAACACAGTCTACAACCTTTTATGACAACGGGATGCCGCTGCAGCTCGAACAGAAACGTCAAACGCAAACGAGATGAATCCGTTTCAGCGGCACCCGTCCGTCACGCCCCGCAGATGTCTCGCGGCTGATTATTCCGCTGCTCTTCGCATGCCTGTCATGTCACTATAATTAGCGCTCATCAGCTTTTAAACTGCTAAACCTGCAGTTCGTACGTGCGTGGATTCAACTAGATTCAACCGGGCTATGGGGTGTAACTCCTTTGAAAAGAAAATGTGTCCACTTAATTATTACCTGCATTCGGTATTTAGATAAAGCTTTAAATTGAAGGGCGCAGGTTTTTAAATTCATTACAAGAAAAATTATCACCACCCCTTACAAAAAAAAGCAGCAATCAGCAACAGTGTTTGCACTCCTTTTTCTTTCAGGATTTGTGTGTGTGCGCGCGTGTGTGTGTGTGTGTGTGTGTGCGTGCGCGTCTGCACATGTCAGTACCCTCCCACGCTTTTCCATGCTCTCATTCAGACTCTGGCGTGATGCTGAGGCTATGCAGAAATATTGGGAGACGAGCCAGTTTGGAAATACTATAGATGCTAATTATCTGCCTGCTCGGTATCTATAATTTATTCACTGTATTAAAACATACAGCACGCTGCAGGCTCCTGACTATATTATTAATTTTCGTAACATATATATTTATGTGTAACAATCATACGCTGTGTTACATCTCCCTGGTTGTTGCAGAACATTAAATCAGGATATTTTTGTACTATAGGGTCTGTAATGGAGGTAGCAAGGTGGTGGTGGTGGTTGTGGTGGGGGGGGGGGGGGGGGGTGTTGGGGGGGGCGGGGGGGGGGGGTGTCTTTTTTGAGGCTCTATGGCCGTGAACGTTTCCATTGCAAGAGCACCTTGAGGGTGAACTAAATTAATCACACGAGCAGATTAGCATTATGAAATGGCTGTCGTGATTAGCGCTAACATGAATGTACTGATGAATGATATCGGTTTCATTTTAAAGGTTAAATAGATGTGAAAAGAGAGCTGGGGAGGGGGGTTTAGTTCGCCGATTCACCCGAGCGCCGGGTTTCCACAGGGTGGCGGACAATGCGGCCGTGAATGGAATCAGAATCACAGCATACGTCTGAAGATTCGACGCGTCGAGGATCTGTTTACCAGATGGCCTCGGCTCGGTCTCGTTCACCCGCCGGCTGCAGAACCCCGCACTGACGGGACGAGGCGGGGGGGGGAACAGGGAGAAAAAAGAAGAGACCAAAGGAGAGGAGTCAGTGCGTCTGAGAGTGGGTGCAGTAGGCCCATGAGAGTTTTACTTACACAAAAATGTTCTGAGGGCAGAAAAAAATATAAATAGGTTCAGACAGATAACCAATCAGATTGTAGAGGAGGTGGGTCTAAGCAACTAGAGGAGGCGGCAATAACTAATCAGATGTCTTGGTTGGTTCTGATCTTGGTTGGATCTGATTGCTTATCTCTCTGAACCAATCATTTTTCCTTT